TGGTTGGATTTGCTTCATTATTCTTTGAAATCTTGCTTTCAGATTGAGATCAAGCCATGCAGAGGTCTAGTACTTGATCAGTTTATTTTTGATAGCTGTCATAATTGATCCAAAGAGAAGAAATGTATCATAGGCTGCATGAATCAAATCATGGTATTCATTTTCAACCCCATCCACCAATTAAAGGCTGTGGATAGAAATTAAACTAGTAATTGTCCATCTTCCCTTATGCCAGGTAATGGCTCTTTCATGCTGAAAAGTGGAAAGTATTGCATTTTTATATTTTTAACAAATGGACTCAAAATCCACTGACATTCTTTATTTGGACAACTTTCAAACAGGTTAGAAAAATCCGTTTCTATATTTTCAGGTATGCAGATGCAAGCATTTTTATAGGTGATACCACTGGATTTTAACAACAAAAATCCCATTTTCAAAATATTCTCTTCAAAACATGAGTTTCTCTAGGAAAGCAATATTGTTAAAATGGGTCACATTTATCTTGAAGAGTCAAATGAATTTGAGTTCTTTTTTTGGTGGATATCTGCTAGGTAGCAAACTGCCAACAGCCACTTGTCATTACGAAAAGGTCAGCAAATTTGGAACACTTGTCTTTTTGTGCAAGAAAAATGTAGAACTCATCTGTAAGTTTGAGGGCTCTTTTAAGAACTCCTCCAAGGGATAACCTGCATATCTCCATGCAGTTCATAAGATTTTCATAGTCACTTTTCTTCTGATTACAAATCATCGTATAAGTTTTACTTTATTTTAAACATTGTTTTTTTTAAAGAACCATTTCAATGCATCCTGCTGTACTTCGTGTATTTCTGGGTTTGCCTTCTTGACTGCGGTAGCCTGCAGGGAGTTAGCTCACGTGTGCTGCTGTTCCTGCCCCTCTCCCCAGAATCCTTTCAGCAGGGAGCAGCCACTCCATCAATGAGTGCATTCGATTTTCCCCGTAAGTGGTGCTTTTATTAAAGAAGTAATTTACCGTTTAGTCTGTTTCTTTTTTCCTTTATTGGCTCACAGAAATGTGGTTCCTCTAGGAAAATCATATTAGAAACATCTATACTTTTATTTAACTATTTAGCAAAGCTTCTGCAGTGTGACATTTGTTTGAATGCTTATTTCTCTACATCCTCAGCAATATTTTCTCTGCATCTTTCAACGAGCTCACCACGTTGTGTTCTATCTACTGCTCTTGCTACCACCAGCTACCACACCGACTGCCCTGTTTCCAGTCTCTCTAAGACAAGGGGTGTGTGTGTTTGTGTGTGAGATAAGAGGGGTGTGATGTGGGTCTAAGGGTGAGTGTGTCTGTGTCTTGGCAACCACCTCCCTCCCACCACTTCCAGCAGGGCCAAGCAAGGGGGACGCCCCCGGGGAAAGGAAGAGTGGTGTCTCATTGCAGGCTGGATCCGTGCTTGGGCAGGGAGGTTGCTGACCTGCCTTGCACCTGTCTGAGCACAGGAGAAGAGAATGGTGCAGAGACTTCTTGTTCTGTCTGCCTGGATTCTCGTGATTTCTACCTCATGGCAAAGAACTCATATTTGGAGTAGGAAAGGTTTCAGCGCTGTCGTTTTCTTGTTGTTCACTTGCATTTGCATTATAAGCATGAATGTCAATTGTGGTTTCCTTGCAGGAATCTTGTTAAGCTGTGTATCCATTTGTAAGAGTTAATGTAGTTAAAATTTGGTAAGGTAATCTGTAAAGCCACTTAGCTAGGGACATGTGACTTGGAACGCATCACAGCAGATAACCCTTACCAGCTTTAATTTCAGGCAGTCAAAGCAAGCATTTCTGGGCATGTTTGGGTGGAAGGATGGAGAAACCAGACAGAGCAGGAGCTTGTTTGTAGGTTCTAGCTGGGCGGTCTGGATTGTCCTGGCCCCTGGCCACTCCCAAAACATATATATGAGATATAGATAATTACATATAAAAATAATATATTAATATATAATTATATAACAAATATATAATTATATATAAGTATACACATTATTATGTTTTAATTATATATAAATGATATACATTAATAATTATATATCATTATTTATTTATATAATGATTATATGCAATAATATGTGATTGTGGTAAATAATTTATAATTATAGTAGTACTGATTATATTATTTATATATCAATACTAATAAAATATATTGATATATATATAATAGACTCTGTCGCCTGAGGACCTTATTTACAGGGCAGATTTCTGGAAGTGCCCGTTTGCTAAGGCAGCCGTAGCAGTGAACAACAGAAATGTACCGTCTCATAATTCTGGAGACAGAAGTCCGAGATCCAGGCGTGGGCAGGGCTGGTTCCTTCCAAGAGCTGGGAGGGAGACTCTGCCCCAGGCCTCTCTCCTGGCCTCTGGGGGTTTTCTGGCAAGCTTTGTGTCCGGTGGCTCGCAGATGCGTCACCCTGACCTCTGCCTCCATCTTCACGCGGTGCTGTCCCTGAATGTGCCTGTGTCCCAGTTTCTCCTTTTTATAGGGACACCAGTCATGTCAGATTAGGGGCTCACTCTACCCCATCCGACCTCGACTTAACCCCTAACTAGTTACATCTACAACGTCTCTATTTCCAAGTAAGGTCATATTCTGAGGTGCTGGGAGTTAGGACTTTAACATACAGATTTTGGGTAAGGGGGAGACATAATTCAACCTGTAACACTAGGTCACATCCCAGACCTTCTAGAACGAGGTCTCTGAGGGTGGACGCTTGGGGTTCTCTGTGTGTGTATACATAGTGTATTCCATGCAACACAGTATGCTGAACACATTTTTTTGGTAGTTTTTTTTTTTAAATTGTGATAAGAACTCTTAATGTGAAATATACGCTCTCAATAAATTTTTCAGTGCACAATATAGTATTGTGGACAATAGGCACAATGCCGTACAGCAGTTCTCTAGGATTCACGTTTTTAACAAGGACCCCAGGTGTGACTCATATGCTCACTAAAGTTCAAGAACTACATGGCCACCCAGGGCGACACGGAATGTCCCTCTCCCACCTCAAATACATAAGCATACAAATACTGTGTTTCCCCAAAAATAAGACAGGGTCTTATATTTATTTTTCCTCAAGAAGACACCCTAGGGTTTATTTTCAGGGGATGTGTTATTTTCCCCTCAAATCCTCAGCTTGCAGCACGCACAGGATGGCCGGGACCTGACAGGGGGAGCCGACCTTGTTGGTGGGGCTGCCCGCACCTTTCTGGTCACCTCTGAGATAGTAGCTGTCACGATGGGGCAGATGAGAAGGGCTGCTCCACTTCTTTACTGCTCCGCCACGAAATGCACGGGTTGTGCAGATCCGCTGCGTAGCCACGCCCATCACTAGGTCTTACTTTCGGGGTAGGGCGTATATTGCGCAAATGCTTAGAAATCCTGCTAGGGCTTATTTTATAGGTAGGTCTTATTTTGGGGGAAACACGGTAGAAGAAAACTATACATTTGAATATGTAGCTGAGTTCAAAAGAAATGAAAGAGAAATATTCATGGGCCCAAAAACGGAGAAATCAGACCAAGAGCTAAGCGCTGGCTGACAGCAGGCGGCCCATAGGAGCAGGCAGTGGTCCGGAGCCCTGGGGCTGGGGCGGGGGTTCCAATCCCCTTGATGGAGTTGTGTGCTTGAAGTCAAAGAGCTGGAGCTAACCCTTCTGCATGGATCCTGGAGCCATGAAGAGATGTCTTGTCCGGGAAAATGGATGGAAACAGTCAACTGGAGAGGACATTTCCTCAACTAACTAGAAATTTGGAAGATTGAGGAGCTCCTGGCCTCTGACCTCTGCCGTGTGAATTCACAGGATGCAGGAGCCTTCTTAGCTGAGGTGCATGCGAGGACGGGGAACTTGGGCTGGGGTGGGGGAAGCATCAGGTGGTTCTGGAACATTGAGCAGAGCTGGGATTGGAGACGGCCTGCAGGCCTGGGACACGCAAGGCTGGACACCTGAGCCACCGAGGGAAAGGAACCCTGGGAGGTGGGATGGGTTGGGGCACAGAAAGTCGGGGAGGAGGGCACCGAAGGTGAACTTGTCAAGCTTGTTCTGTGGGGTTCTCGGTTCTCCCTTTAACCCTCCTAAGACCTGCCCACCCCCCTCCACCCGAAGCCCACTCAACCTGCCCATTCCTGGGGCTGCAGGCGGAATAGTAAGGCAGCCTTAGCGAGCCCTCCCTGGCTGGCAGGGAAGTGGCTGGGGTGTCGCCAGCCCAGGCCATGGGTGCCAGCAGAGAAGGGCCCTCACGTGCCATATGAGACACTGGCCAGGCCCAGTTTAGGGGACCCAGAGTGCCTAAAATCACATGACCTTTACTCATTTGGGAACCTAATTTTAGAAATAGTTTAGTTTAAAAATGAAAATTGCTATGGCCATTATGGTATCTATAGTAGCTAGGTAACAACTATCTACCATGTGTTGAGTGTTAGTTACTGGGCACTGTGCGACTGTAAACCTACCCTGCTGAGTCCTCATGACAGTCCTATTGGGTAGATATAATTTGTATCCCGCCCTGTCTTGGACATGAGAAATCTTAGGCGCTGGGGGATTATATAATTTGTCTAAACTGAGTTCATGATCTAGTGAACAGTGAAGGCCAGGACTCAAAAACCCAGGCCTGTCTGACGTCCCCATCAATATGTTGGCCATGGCTAACGCTGGGGAGTGGATTTCAGATGGCTTTTATCCTATTCCTTATGCTTTTTTGTGATTGCCAAGTTTTCTCCATAAAATGGGGAAAAGTTAATAACCATAAAAAGATAAACACAACCAAAAAATGAGCCTCTGGAATGTGTGTGCAGGGGGAGATGGTGTGGGGGGGTGAGGTGAGGCAGGGTCCCTGTCCCCATAGTGGCACTCACAGAGCCAGTATCTGCTCCCATATTTAGGTTGTGGCTCTTCTCAAACCCAAGACCGGACACAGTGCTTGTGACAGAGGAGAGAGGCTCAGGGAGATGTAAACCCGACCCCTAAAGGCCTCTTGCCTTCCCCACCCACAGGTCAACCCCTTCAGAGACCGCATCTGCAGAGTGTTCTCGCACAACGACGTGTTCTCCTTTGAGGACGTGCTGGGCATGGCATCTGTGTTCAGCGAGCAGGCCTGCCCCAGCCTGAAGATCGAGTACGCCTTTCGCATCTACGGTGGGTGCTGGGGGGGTTGGAGGGGTGTGGGAGAGGGGAGAGGGCCACAGAGGCCGCACCACATCTGGAATCTGTCAACGCCAGTCATCCACAGGAGGGTGCTAACTGGCGTTGGCCTGTGTATTTGTGGGTATGTATCTTGTTTTGCAGGTACCGAGGAATAGAAAAAACACTGATTCAGACCTGTGCCTCCAGTGGGTAGTGCCCTCCTCTCCACGCCGTCAGAGGCCAATGGAGTCCTGGGTGCTAATATTTGCTGGTAGTGTGTGGGCATGAGAGAGAGAGAGAGAGAGAGAGAGAGAGAGAAAGAGAGAGAGAGACAGAGAGGGACTACATACAGGTATAAAGGAGCCATGCTTGTTTGGCAGAAGGAGCACGGGATGGGAAGTTAAGTAAACTTGAAAGTGGAACTAGCTGAGCCACCAAATGGCTGAGCAATCTTGGACAAATCATTTCACTTTTCCAGGACTCCATTTTTCTCATCTTTAAACTGAGGGGGTTGAGAGAGATAATCTCTGAGTCCTTTGACATTTTTTGGACTCTGAGTCTGTCTAGGGCAGTCCTCAGTCTCTGCTAAAGTTCTGCCCTTTGCCAGGCAGATGTCTTCTGAGCACAGCTGTGGTGCACAGAATGCTCAAATGGAATCAAAGAGAAAGAGAGAAATCTTGAGAAGCCTTCAAACAGACTGTGTTCGAGGCTTTAGTACATCATGGTGACTCTTTCCCCCAAAGGACTTGCATGTTGACACTTGCACCTTTCGGCATCTCACCTGCTGGGCCCTCCGAGGTCTCCACACGGTGGATACCATCTATTTCCACCTCCCCCAGGTGGACTTGGATAGAATGAGTAGAGGAGTGTTAAGCCAGATAGGCCTATGAGGGCTCAGTTTTCCCATCTGTAAAAAGGACTTAGTAATGTCATTGTGTCCTGTATCCTCAGGTTTGGCAGCCAGTTGGCACACATGAAATCACAGATATCCCTCCTGAGAACGGCTGAGGAAGCTTCTCTCGTATTGGTGCTCCTGCAGATAGCAACTGCAGACTCAAAACTAAATATAAAATCAACTAGCTTATGCGTGTGTAGCTACCAAAGCAAATAGATTCCACAGAGCTTTGACACTTGGGAGAAGGAAATGGTACTGGATGGGTTCTGTCCCACCACCTTTTTTTCTTTAAACATTTTAGCCAAAGGTGGGCTTCAGTGAGTGGTTCATGCAGGCTGATGGAAACCCTGAACTCTTTCAGACTTGAAGAGACAGAGAGTTCGAGGTACCCACAGCCCCTGCAAAGTGAGGGGAGAGTCCATGAAAGAAGGAACACAGACAGGGAGTCCAAATTCTGTGCATTAATTATGCCCGAATCTTTCTGACCCCTAGACCACAAACACAAGGGCAGCTCAGCTAAGGATAAAAGCACCGAATTGAGATTGGAGCTGCTGCCATATCTTAACAAGGCCCATGAGTGACAGGATTTCATTTTGAGTCCCACCAATTGCCTGATAAAACCAAAACTTCAGCACTCTCTGAAGGAATCCAGAGTCTCCACAACAAAACGTTTATAATGTTCAAGAGGCTATCCAAAATTACTCAATCTACAATTAAAAAAATTGATGCGTTATCAAGAATGGAGGCTGAGTGACATGACCCAGATGTTGGAATTAGCTAAGGATTTTTAAATAGCTATTATTACTATATTAAGCAAGATTCTCCAGAGAAACAGAATAGGATGTGTGTGCGTGTGTGTGTGTGTGTGTGTGTGTGTTTATGTACAGAGAGAGAGATTTTTTATAGGAATTGGCTTATGTGATTGTGGAAGTGGAAAGTCCCATGACCTGCTGTCTGCAAGCTGAAGAACCAAGGAAGCTGTGATGTAATTCAGCCTCAAGGCCTGAGAATCAGCAACACTGATGTCTGAGGACAGGAGAAGATGGATGTCCCAGCTCAGAGATGACAATTCACCTTCCTCCACCTTTCTGTTCATTGGGCCCTCAACAGAGTAGACACTGGTGAGGTTGAAATTCTTTACTCAGTCTATTGATGCAGATGCTGACCTCTTCCAGAAAAACTCTCACAGATACACCCAGAAATAATGAGTTACCAGCTATCTGGGCATCTCTTAGCATAGTCAAGTTGACACATAGCATAAACCATCATAATAACCATGCCCAGCAATGTGGGGAAAAAAGTGCTCATTTCAAAAAGAGGGAAAATCTCAGCAGTGAAGTAGAAACTATAAGAAAGAATCAGGCCAGGCGTGGTGGCTCGTACCTGTAATCCTAGCACTTTGGGAGGCCGAGGTGGGAGGATTGCTCAAGGTCAGGAGTTCAAGACCAGCCTGAGCAAGAGTGAGACACCATCTCTACTAAAAATAGAAAGAAATCAGCTGGACAACTAAAAATATATAGAAAAAACTAGCCAGGCATGGTGGCACATGCCTATAGTCCCAGCTACTCAGGAGGCTGAGGCAGAAAGATTGCTTGAGCCCAGGAATTTGAGGTTGCTATGAGCTAGGCTGATGCCACAGCACTCTGAAAAAAAAAAAAAAGAAGAAAGGAAGGAAGGAAGGAAGGAAGGAAGGAAGGAAGGAAGGAAGGAAGGAAGGAAGGAAGGATTAAATAGAAAATATAGAACTGAAAAATAAAGTATCTGAAATAAAAATTCACTGGATGGGTTTAACAGGAGAATTAAGATAACAGAAGAAAGAGTTGGAAAACTTGAAGATAGACCAATAGAAATAATCTAATCTTAAGAACAGAGAAAAATACTGAGAGAAAAGAACGCCAGAGCCTCAGGGACATGTAGGACAACAAAAAAGTCTAACATATATTTGTTGGAGTCTCAAAAGGAGAAGAGAGAATGAATGGGACAGAAAAGATTTTTCAAGAACTAATGACCCCAAATGTTCTAAATTTGATGTAACACAAATTTATAGCAGCTCCGAGCAGGATAAGTGCAAATGCAATTATATCGCCAAATCCTGTTGGCTTTGTAGGCCCCACCTGTCCACACTGCTCTTCCTTTTTCTGTACCCCAAGTATTTCTGGGAGTCCCCAATGCATCCAAGGAGTTCAAGTCCACTAGCCACCACTCCTCTCTGCCAGGCTCCCGCCACAGGTGGCAGCTGTGCTGGCTCAAGCCCCTGGCAGTGCTCTTCAGGCTGTGGCAGCTCCTCTGGGGAGATGCTGGCCCAGGGTCCGTGCTCATGTCAGCCAAGAGCCTGCAGGTTACAAGTCACAGAAACTTACCTACATAAAAGCAACTGATGAGGAACAGCAGTATATTCGCTTTCCATGGCGTGTGTAATAAATTGTGACAAACCTAGAGGCTGCAGACGACACACATTTATAAGCTCAGAGTTTCTGTGAGCTAGGAGTCCAGGCATAGCTTAGTTGAGTCTTCCTCTGAGGGTGTCACAGAGCTACGATCAAGGGTCTGGCCAGGCTGCCTTTGCCTCTGGAGAGCGCTTGACTGGGGAGAATCTACCCACAAGCTCACTGGGCCGTTGGCAGAATTCACTTTGTAGTGTCGACAGAGCTTAGGCTCTGGCCTCTTGCTGGATCTCAGCTAGAGGCTGCCCTCGGCCCCTTGCCACAAGGGCCTCCCCCTTGCTTCCTCAGGGACAGCCAGGGAGAGAGTCTCTTGAGTCACCCTGTTGTGAAGAGTCTTATATGACAATGTGATCATAGAAGTGACACCCCATCACTTTGGCAAAATCTGCAGGTTGGAAGGAAGTCACAATTCTCACCTGCACTAGAGGAGGTGGGGATTACACGAAAGCATGAACCCCGAGAAATGTGGATTGTGGGAGTGGGGCCCTAGAGTGTGTCCCCCACAAGCAGCATGATGCCCACAGAGCAAAGGGGACCTCCGAGGGCCTGGGTGCAGCTGAGAAGGGTCAGGGAGAGAGGCAGCTACTTGCTGCTTCCCACGGCACCTCCTTCATCTCTACTTCTCCCTCTGAACCTTCTTCTGCACACCCGACTCCTATGCCTCTGTGCCCATGGGCCAAAGACGACTGCCCAGCCCCCCATATGGCCTGCAGGCTTCACTAGGACCAGCCACAAGCACTTCCCTCTCTCCCTTCCATTTTCTCAGGAGATGCTGGTGGCCCAGCCGAGCCAATGATCTAGCTGCCCCTGGGCTGGGCGACCAGCCTTCCCAGTGAACTACAGCCGAAAAAGAAGCAGAGCGGCAGAAACAAGCACGGCTCCAGGGGCCTGCCACTTGGGGGGAGGGGGACACGCCTCAGTGATGGGAGAGCGTAGGCTGGGCGCATGTCCCAAAAGATGTCTGCCTCAGCTGTCTTTCCATGGTTTCCTGAACTAAACAAACAAAAACACCCGAGCCCTTCAGGAGCTGGGAGTGCAGCAGGTTCTCTTTGGACTGCAAGGCACGGTAGCCAAATCGTGCTCAGCTCCGAGATGGGGAGAACACCCGTGGTCCCGAGAGACCAGACTGAGAGCCTGGGGGCAGGTCGAGGACCGGACACCACAATGCCCCCCTCAATGTCTTTGTGTCTTACCCCACCTGCTCTTTCCAGGCCCCCTCGAACGTACGGTCTCCTTCCTCCTAGAGCCCAAGCACAAAAACGAGAAGCTCGCAGCCCTCGTGCAAATCACCTGTGCAAATAGATGCCCAGGGGCTCATAACCTCCCAGCCTTCATCAGACAGACTCAGACAGATCCAAATTCTCTTTGGTCCCCGAGGATTTGTTACTGACAGAGCTGTCGGCGGGATTAGAGGTGGGACGAGTGAATCCCGAGGCTGGTGCCTGGCAGGTGGCAGCTGCGTACTAAGTCAAGATGGGCGTGGTCTGCAGCGAAGGGAGAAGAAGAGGAATTTTAAAAAGGGAGAGGAGACAGAGCAGGAAAAAAGAAGATGGTCGTGGTGACAGTCATGGCGGTGATTCTTAGCAAAAATCCGAAGACCTAACTCAACGCCCTGACCCCATGTCACTCTAAGTGCAGCTCACGGACCAGCAGTGACCGCACCGCCAGGAAGC